CTGGTGATGCCGACCACGAAATTCTACCTGAGAATAGAAACGGCAGCCCTCCGCTTAAATCGTGCATACGTCAGAAGGACAAACGCCTAGTGCACACGCACAGGTTACCAGTCCGTTTCAGAGACTATACCGGACTACCCGAACACTTCGCAAAGAAATAAGTGTCGACTGGTAATCATGCCGCGTTAAGCTCAGTTGGTGAAACAATCCAATGGTAAAGATTGGATTATCGAGGTGAAGTACTGGTGACCTCTCCCTCTTTGTTTTCCACAAACCGAATTTGGCGTAATCACTACGTTGAGTTCTGTTCATGTCAAGAGCAATCATTTTTTAAGAGTTAGTTGTTCTTATGTGTTTTGACTGTATATTGTTTGTAACTTGTAGTTTGATTTGATATTCGCTCTGCCGTAAGTTCATGAGTTTCAGCGAACATTTCCGTATAATCATTAGAAGAACATGATAATAGTTTTGAACATTTTAGACTCCATCATTGTTCCATATCGTGAATTAGACATAATTGTCGATACTCGATAGGTTTAAAGTGTTACCTAACATGCCTAATCAAGATTTCTATTATACAGACAGAACAATGCTCAAAGAGAACAAGTTCTTATCTAGAAAGGGAGGAATGTAGTGTTCATGTAATTCCGAAACCCCCCTTCGGTTCTCACCTAGTGAGCATTCTCTGTATCAACAGGAACATCATCAAGTTCAGCCATAAACAGAAGATCAACATTATGTAGCCAGCAGACTTATTCAATAAAAGTATTGTGATTAAATCCAGACTTATTGTCAATTCACTCAGCCTTCAGCATCACAGGTGTGATCTTAGCATGAGTGTGTAAGTGACTGGGATGGGATGGTTGGATTTCAAGAGATAAAAGTTTTTTTTAACCCTTACTCTTACATTACTTGCTTTTGCTCTTATGTTATTATGGAGTTATACATAATCATCAAGAGTAGATAATAACAAAATTAATAACAAAAATAATTAATAACAAGTTAAATTATCTACTCTTGATAATCATACATAAAACAAATAAAGTGCACTTCCGAATCATTATTCGATACAGGTCTCTAGCACCAGGGCCTGTTCAAAGTGTCTGCTAGCATTTCTGATGCGGTAACCCATGCTCTTAAATGTCACGACGGATATTAACACGCTTGATGTGAATAGTTTACCTCAGCTGTTTTTCTCACGATTGCCGTGTTGCCGAAACAGTTGCAGCAGCGAGAGGGCTAGCAAGAACATTGCCTTCTGCTAGCATGCGGCAGGCACGAACAGTAGCAAAGTGCTCTGCATTCTTGATATATAGGCCTCAAGCAACCATTAACTTGTGGCTTAAGTATGTTACTGCACACATGTGGTTTCCACGCGAGCAGATTCATGGAACATTTTGCAATGGCATGCCATACGACATTATTTGCAAGTGCTCAGTGTTTCCCTCCATTAGCATAGATCTACCTGTGCCACCTACTGGTTAGAACTTAGATGGGTTCTCAGTAGTCTTTACACGAGAAAAAGACAAGGTGCTATCTGACAGCACTGCCTGCTGCAGGAGGGCTCGCAGAAATTAAATCGAATTAGGTCAAAGATTAGTGGAACCAGCAGGTCGAATGGTGTGACCCAGGAGGACATGCCTCCCTTTATGCACGCAAAACAAGTGAAAAATACACCTTTCGACGACATTTCTCTGTACTGACAACTATTACACATGTCTAAAGCTGGGTTTACACTACCGACTTTATGCTGTCAAATTGGTGAAACGGACACATTTTGCAATTATACAACCGACAATCGGCAGTGTATGCACCGCTGCACGGTTGCTTAGGGATTGGGGAAACTGTCAACAACATCGGATAATTTCAACAACATTGGAGGTATTTTCAAAATACCTTTTATAAGACAACGCGCAGTGAAATGGGAGGAACTAGAGTTTATTTTGCCATAAGGTAGTATGATTATGCATGACACAAAGTATTTGCTAGTCTAGTACTGGAGAAATTAGCGTTTGGATGCGCATTGTGAGCCTTTAAGATTTGTGCCCAACTGTTGACGGACGCACGGACGGCCGGACAGACAATCATGCGATTCTACAAGCTGCAACTGACTACGTCAGATGAGCTAAAAAGGAAGACCCACTTCAAAAAAAGTACTATCGTCCTGTTAGTGTTCTACCCATTCAGTCGAAAATCTTCGAGAGGGCCATGGTGGACCAACGGAATGATCACTTCCAAACTATCTTCCATCCATTGCTATCAGCATACCATAAAGGCTACAGCTGTCAGTTGGCCCTAATGGCCCTGACAGAGGAATGGAGGAGAGCTTTGGATGATGGTCATTTTGTTGGGGCCATCTTGATGGACCTCTCGAAGGCTTTCGATTGTCTGCCCCATAATCTCCTACTTGCCAAGCTCAGCACATAAAACCTTTCTGAGCATGCCGTAGCATTGCTAGATAGCCATCTTTCTGACAGAAAGCAGTGCGTAAAACTTGGCAACACTCAAAGCATATTTTTGCCATTGTCTAAAGGTGTACCACAGGGATCGATCACAGGTCCTATTCTTTTTAATATCTTTATAAATGATATATTTTATTTCATTCATAAAACAACACTGTATAACTATGCAGATGATAACATAATTACATACGCAAACAAAGACTTTGATGTTATGAAAGATACCCTGGAGGCTGAGGGTAGTGTTCTTGTTGACTGGTTTTCTGAAAACCAGATGGCAGAAAACCAGATGGAGGCCAATCCGGGCAATTTCAAGGCCTCGCAGTGGGTAAAGATACCCACAATAGGAATCCTACCTTCAGTATTCAGGGTGCTGACATAAAGTGTAGTGATGATGTTAAACTACTTGGTGTAACCCTCGAGTTGTAGGAAGGTAATTTACCAGTCCTTCATCAAATCAAATTTTAATTTTTGTTCCATTATATGGCATTTTTGTAGTGAAGCCAACAGTAAAAATTTGGAAAAGTTAAAACTGTCGTGCTCTACACCATGTGTATCAATACTATAGCAGTGATTATGAATCACTCCTTTTGAAAGACGTGTCTACATCACTAGGCCTACGTAGACAAAGACAGATTGCTGAAGAGGTTTACAAAATCCTAACCAGACACTGTACATCCTATCTGTCAAATTATATCTCACCTAAAGATATTTGTTATAATCTACGCAGTAAAAATGTAAAGGTCCGACGTTTTAAAACTGTAACATATGGGGAAAAATTTTTTTGTTACTATGGTGCCAACCTATGGAATGAACTACCACAATGTTTACAATAGTGTAGAGTACTCAAGGTGTTTAACAAAACTTATAAAGTGGAAATCATAGAGCATCATAAAGAAGGAAGTTGTACAACCGGTAGAAGATTGCTGAAACTATTTTGCCGAGTATTAGTCGCACTTATAAACTTTCCCGGCTATACTTTGGACGAATCTTGCAGTATTATATTGATCAGCTGTTCTACCTTGTTCTATAAAACAAATCCGCTTGTCCCTGTACATCGCCCTAAACGGCGAGATATATGGAGGCGATGAAAATCTGGTTTTTCTGCCTGAAACTCCGAAATCAGAGGACTAGTAGAACTGCGCCCTCTCTATCGTGTGGTCGAGTGTAACGGCCACAGCTGTGGCCAGTGTGTTGCTTCCGGTCCCGCCTGTGTAGCGCCATGGTGGCGCTGAACTCACGTCATAACTACCAGAGTTACTTACATCGCAGGTGGGTGGGCGTGAGGTGGGCACAGTGGGAGTCATCACCAATGAGCAATCGAGATAACCAGACGGTCACTTTCATTCATTTGTCAATCAATTGACGCAGAACACGCGGTTTCCCGAAGTTATAGACTTTCGAGAGTCGCGTCACAGTAACACTAAACTGTCGTCTAACGTCGGTGTCGGCGAAAATACCAGATTATTCACCCGCTTATATAGTCTCAGTCGTAGGCATCGTAGGGACATGCTTTGTTTTATATGAACAAGGTAGGACACGCTGATCAATATAATTACTGCCAAGGAATCGTCAAAATAAAACCGGGACAGTTATTAATTCGACTAATAGCTGCAATCATGTATTCCAGCATTTTAACCGTTGTACGCCTCTTCCTGTTATATGCTCTGGTGAATGGTAACGGAATGCCGTGTTGCGCAGTCTATGTAAATTACTATTAATTCTCTCCGGCAATACAGGCATTTTTGTGTACAGCCTCTGCCTGCACTTTCACACTTGAAATTACTTTTATTTTATCTTCATTTGTCTGTGTCGCAGTTTGTCAGCGTTGTAATTTGTTTTTATTGTGTGAAATTCTTAATACTGTTTTGTAAAAACTACTGTATTGCTATTAGTTGTTGATACGCTATCGGCTGAAAGAGCTGAGTTATACCTCAATGTTAGTTATGTATTTTGCCACATACCGATGAAAATAAAGTTTATCTTATCTTATCTTATCTTATATTAGTAAGAGTAGTTATACAGCTAAGTTGCTAACTTACTATGCTTCGTTCGTGAATCCAGGATTTCGGGGTGGGTCGTATCCATGAAGATGACAATACAGTACATCAAAACAAAAGTTACACATTTCACGGCACACAACCATATGGCCGCAGCCATTTGTGCCGTTTGGAATGTTATTAGGATGAATTGCAGTATTATTGCAGCATACTGATGCAACAGAATTATTTAACTTCTGTTTTTTGCTGCCAAAACAGACGGTCGCCATTGTCTATAGACTATCGTACAGTCGTACTACTACTGGTAGAAAGTTGCTGTTTTTGACCGACGTATGCCGCCACCTCACAACCGTTAACCTTATTTAAGAGCAAGTTTCTGCAATATTTATCAAAAATCTACTGTCATATAGAACTCTTTTATTATTGCCAAACTTTAAAAATATAAGTTAAAATGTTCTTATCTAAGTATTTTCTCTTGGTAAATATTACTATTGCCAAGTCCCGATTATGACTATGACGGTGGGGTGGCAGCACTATCTCGCAAAAGGTCGACTGGTATCAATATCCGCTTTCGTGTTTGGGTTTCTAAATCTCAGCTTTTTGTGTTGATTGTTTGAGATTTAACACTAAATATATAAACAGTTGCGTGCTAGTCATTGAAGATGGGTGCATTAGCCAGCCGACAGAACGCTGGTGTCGAAGAAGTGGATATCACGACACATAATGCGTATAGATACCCTCCGAAGTCAGGTGCGAAGTTCAATTACGCAGTCGTGACTCGTATGTTCAATCAATGTTGTTGTTTGCGTCATTTCGTTTGTTTTGCTCTACTTTTTTTCATACACATTACACAGCCTCACAGGGATGTTATCCGAGTTTTTATTAATGATCTGTCAACGGTCAGAGGTCTGTCAACGACTGCGTTTAATGAACTTTCTAACTTAATTCATACCTACTTAGTACTCTGACTCCCTTGTGATGGCCCATGCCCATGGGCATGGGACTCGTACACTAACCCACACCAAATCGACCAAAATCGTCGGTGTGGGCGTTGGTCAGAGGAATCTCGGACTATCCAGATTCATGCTACCCTAAGTTAAACCTCCACTGCTCTATAGCCCCAAGTTCCTATCTCGCTTAACACTACGTAGCGAGAGATCACAAACCGACGCATTAGAATTTTGTTCGGCAGCACGTGCGCTGCTATTTAATGTTAAATTATCTCACTTTTTATGATTCTTACAGCTTCTCTGTACTTCCACGCCTCGATTTATTATATGTGCGCTATTACTGAGCATGTACTTACGTGTCAGCGAGTAATTGTTTATAAATTGATAAGATAAAACTCAAAAAACGCCGCTATTTTCCCATAGATATCCCATAATACGTAGCGTAAGTTCGTGAATTTTCGCGTACAAAAAGAGACATAAGAACATCCAGAATGGCGTTTTACAACGTTCAAATAGTATAGCTGTTCGAAATTCTCTTATTTTAACGTGTATTTCGAGGTAAATAGTAATTAAGAAGTGTAGTGATAGTTGCAACATGTAACAGGTGAGGTCAAATGTGGTAATACATTGTTTTATTTACGAAATTTTACGAAATTCGGAGTTTGTTTTCAAGCTACCAGGCATTTCGTATGGAAGGGTGTCAGGCTCCTCCGCCGTGTAACAGTCGGAGAGCCTGGTCGGTTTACACTGCTCTACTGTATAGCCTTGGCTGCATATGATATACATGCAGGGCCCGTGTCTGAGTTTTATAGGGTTACATTAGGGTATCTATCTCCCTCAGATCTGCGTGCAGAAAATGGCCTCTCTTCAGAGTAGTAACTATTATCATACTCTGGTAAGTGCAGGTGTACCGTGTTGTAACATATGTTTTGCACATGTTATATACATTAGTAATTGTACTTGTAGATAGTTTATCTGTAATAGCCAGGAACAGGAGTAGGGTTGGGCGTTTAGCATGTAGTGAAGAAATACGTACCTGCAATGCATGATAACGCAATGTAATATCATAAACATGTACAGTCGGACCATGTTTTGAGGTTTGATCTATGTAACAGTCTTCTGCACGGAGGAATGGGAGAGGTGTCCAGTCAGCAGGAGTTGGGTGCTAATGGGTAATGATGGGTCGCTCCAATGCCAGGATCCTCCGGATGCGTTCAACTATTTATTTTGTGATGATGTCAGTATGACATTTTTAATGTTTTCCTGAAAACATTACTGCTTGTGTCGTGTTATGTTATGTTATGTTCTCGTACTTGTCGGTGTCCACTGCACTGGATATAGTGACAAGGTAGTAAGTGCCTTCAGGGATAAACCCAATAAACAAACAACAGGTGCATAATAATAATAATAATATGAGTGCAATGGTACTAGGTGTCTTCTTGCTGTGTTCGGGTTTGCTTGCATGTGGGAGTGAATCCTTGATTTGAAAGTGTCAACATCAGTTGCTTCCACAACACCCATGGGTATGTTGTTCCAGATTGGAATCATCCGGGGGAAAAAAGAGAATTTAAATGCGTTGTTGTTGCAGTGCAATTGCCGAAATTTGTGTTTTTTTTCCGATCTGGTACCTGATGAAGTGTAGTGTCACTCGTTTATTGAAATGTCTGAAGCAGTTTGGGCGACATAGTGGTGAAATGCTGTGGCCCACCTTTATTATCATTCTTTTTGTCAGCTAGGAGAGTGCTGATTTGAAACGCTGCAATAATTGTTGTTTTACAGGGTGTTATTTTGGCAGTCATTTCATCATGGGAGGTGAAAGATTTGACACTACTCCTCCAGAAGCATACCTCTTTGGTGAGAATGCAGACCTTAACTTCCTAGGAAACCGACCAACTCCTTTCCCATATCCTGCACCGCAAGCCAATGAGCCAATAAAGACTCTCAAAAGCCTGGTCAACATTCGGAAAGATTCAGTGCGCTTTGTGAGGTAAGATTCGCAGCTGTGTGACTAATATACGTAAAAGCATCATTTTAAAATTTGAAATGTTTTGCTGACCACTTTAATAAATGAAAATGAGAAGCCTGTACATAAGTAAGTTTGAATGTCTGCTAATTTTCTAGTTAGTAGATTTGGTTCTAGGTAAAGCTAATACTGACAGTAATATTATAGAAACAGTTTGTGTAATTAAATTTTTAATATGAAGTAAACGATATAATTATTTAATTCATGGTTAATTATTCACACGTGACATATACATCAATCCTACATTTCTATCAGGTGTAACATAACATCGAGTCTGACATGGTGATTGAGTATGTCAGTTTATGAAAACCTATTGATTCTTTAAAAAAAAACATATGCAGTTCTGAGTAAGTTCATATTCTCTTTTTCAGAATTTAGTAGTCCGAATTAGAAAATTGAATAGAGAATTTAGAAAATTCCGCGCGGGAGTGAAATCCCGTAAGCCGGGTGTGAGTAATACACTTGTGTTGCCGTACGCGCTATAGTACAGTACATAGTACATAGTTGCATGATTCACCACCGCTCTCTCTCGCAGGTCAGCGGAAGGTTTTTAATTTAAAATCACAAAATGTTGACACCGGAAACGAATGGCATCTAGAAGTTGTTTGGTGTACAATTCTTTACTCAATATTCCAAAAACATTTATGCAAATTACATGGGCAACTAGAATGTCATTCGGGCACGTACATTTTACAGACTACGAAGGTTAAGTGGCTCAAAAAGTTTTTCGCGAAGACTGCTGTCTGCGTAGATGTACCTAATTGTACACATGGCTTATAGCGATTCAGAAATACTTTCTGTTATAACATCATGTGTGATGCATATATACCGTGATGATGTGTGTATGTATGCATAGGATAAGCATGATATAATCAATGTGAGCTATGTTATTTTGTATATATATATATGTATTGTAAATGTATTGCACGCAGGGTGTTAGCCAGGAATGAGTATTGTGGGAGTGCGGAAAAAAATATTTGGGAGTGCAATTTTTTTTTGTGTCTTAGCCAAGACCGCCGTAGGCGTTCACGAGGGGGGGGAGTATTGGGGGTGTACAGGGGGGTCCACCTGGAAGAATTTGTAAGAATTTTTTAAATGTTAAAATTTTTTTGGCCGTGCAGTTTCAAAACTGACCGTGCAAATCACAGCTGCACGGCTCCCTGGCTAATACGTTGATTGCACGATTCGCCTCTCTCACTCTTGCAGGTCGGCGGAAACGCCGAAGGCCAGCGGCGATGAGACCGCGCTGAACACCGAGCCGAACACTCGCTACAACATCGAGTTCACGTTCGACTGCGACGTGCGCTGTGCGATCACCATCTACTACTTTGCGACGGAGGAGCTCGCGAACGGCATGGTCGTCTACCATCCGCGTGACCCCGCGATGAACTCCGAGACCTACCACTACAAGCGCGGCGCCAACCAGCAGTTCGCGCAGACGTCGCACGTGTTCGATCCGTCGCGGCACGCCGACGACGACCTCAACTACAGCCCCGAACGCGAGGTGCTTCCCGTCGTCGTGCAGTGCGTGACGGACGAGACGGAGGACTTCTCGCGGCAGGCGCACATCACGTTCTGCTACGTCGAGCGCTCGTCGGACGGCGCCTTCTCGCTGAAGCCGCTCAAGCAGAAGCAGATGGTCGACGGACTCTGCTACCTGCTGCAGGAGATATACGGCATCGAGAACAAGAACGCCGACAGCGGCGCGAAAGCGGGCGACGAGGACGACGTGGACGACAACGGCTCCGAGTGCGTCATCTGCATGTCGGAGGTGCGCGACACGCTCATCCTGCCCTGCCGGCACCTGTGCCTCTGCAACTGCTGCGCCGACTCGCTGCGCTACCAGGCGAACAACTGCCCGATATGCCGGTCGCCGTTCCGCGCGCTCCTGCAGATGCGAGCGCTCCGAAAGAAGGTCGCCGGGGTGGCGCCACCGCCGCCGCCCGCGTCGGAGGCGGAGGACTCCTCGGGACCGGCGGTGCACGACGCGGGTGTGCCGCCGGGATACGAAGCGATCTCGCTCATCGAGGCGCTCAACGGGCCGAGCCAGTCATCGCGGCAACGCGAACCGTCGCTGCCGGCACCGCGCACGGAGGCCGGCGGAGTCGCGGCGGCGCCACCGTCGTACCGCAGCCCCGAGCGCGCGCGCCTCGGCGTCCCGAACGGCGACGTCGCCTCGCAGGAGCCCGGCCGCAACTTGACGCTGGGTCTCGCGGCGGCGGCGGAGAGCGGCGCGGCGGAGTCGCCCGGAGGTGGCGGCGGCGACACGCCCGAGGTCATCATGTCCGGAGTGGCGCGCACGCCGGAGAAGGACGCGTCACGCGCGGGGAAGTCGACGGCGAAGCGTGACACGAAGGAGGAGCAGGAGGAAGAGGAGGAGAGCAGCGAGTGTACCGTGCTCTTTCTTCCCGAGGAGGACAGGGTGGAGATCGTGGACGAGATGCAGCAGCCACGCCACACGAGGTTTGCGAAGCGCACAGTGGAGGACGAGGAGGAGGAGGCAGAGGAGGAGGAGGAGGAGGAGGAGGGGGACGTCGATGGTGCTGCTTCCGAGGTGGGGTCCGAGGAAGAGGAAGCTGTTAAGGATCAGGAAGCGAAACAGACGCATACCGAGGATTTAGAGAGTAGCAAACCGCCGAGACAGGTGCCGGAAAAGACCAGTATTCCATCAGGTTTGTACGTTTGCGCTTAATGTGCACAGCACGTGTACGTCACAGTACGCGGGTGCAAGTGTCACGAATTTGATCTGATCATGATCACAATCATAAAAAGATGCACTGAAACATTATTTTGATCAAATCCACATGATTTATCAGGTTTTTTAAGCTTTACCCACATGGAGATTATTTCATCTTTCTCAACATGATTAATAGTTTTAACTGATCAAAATAGGTTTCTATCGTAATTCTATAGATGTTAATTCTAGCATCGGAAACTTGTTTGGTTTTGATCATAAATCATCAGCGTAAGTAAAAACCTTCAGATGGACAGCTTCAGATGTTGCTATGGTATTCAGGTATGGGTTTGTAACTGCTGATCTCATGTTTATCGCTCTACGTACAGGCACGGCTGCGGTGAAGGACTGCATTAGGTTGCCGGGCACGCCCGACGTGGACCGAGTGAGCGGGGAGAGCTACGGTTCCTCCTGCAGCACTAATCGGCTACTGGAAGAGAATCAAGCGGCGAACAGTGGGAATAAGACCACCATGCTGTGATGCGCCTGCATCCACACATCGTCCGGTGATTTGATGGAACATGCAGCGACTAGAGAGAACACGAGTGATCGAAAAAATATTGACAGTGTTGACGTTGACATCCTTGTTTTCGAATAGTAGCAGTTTTGTGATTTTGATCAAAATCTGTTATAATTGGATTTGTAACTACGTGTACTATAGCAATTCTTGTTATTCTACATGTAACTACATGTTGGACCTCCCTGGTCCGGAAAGCTTGCGGCCATCCTAGTTCTGGATTAGTGAAAATTTCGAAGGACCGAACCTGAAGTTAAGAGAGACAAAATAATGCATACACTGCATTATTATTGATACCGATGAAACTTATAAGTAGTATGTAGAGAGTATAAACCTAACCTAGGCTTACTCGACCCCTTTTTGACAGTATTACTGTGGTGGCACAAGTTACTGTACTGTGACACGTAAATAAATAAATTAGTAGATAAAGCTAACGGCTGCCAAATGAAATCACCTCATTCTGAATCCTCGAAGCTGCCAAACGGTTGGATTACGGATTCAATTGAGGTTTGACCTGTCGTATAAATTCGTTCAAGTTATGCTATTGAAATATTTGAAATGGTGGATGTAGGTAAATATCAGGTGTTGCGATGTGGGACACCTGTGGTCCAGCCGTCTTCTTACTGACCATAATGCCTATGAACATGTGTGTCGGTGTTTTGACATGCAGCATAGACAAACATTTACCAACAGTTTGTGCTGTCACTTTGGACCGGGTATATTATATGTATATGTGATCAATATTTAATCAGTGCATGATCCATGTTTGTGTATATATATGTATAAATTGTAAGCACAATGTCATGTAGACAGGGCATAAACAGTCTGTAAGTATTTGATTTTAGTGAAAGCCCATATAGGTGCCCCCCCTCCATATTCTGGTAAGTGTGTGTGATTTTCGCCACTTTGTTAATAACAATATTAGCTGTCTAAACTTCTCCAACAAATCATTATTGCAACTAGATATTGTGCTGTGTTTAATATCTTACATGAATTGATACGACAACATGTTGGTCTACATCATATGGTTGTATTATCTCAGCTAGTTATAATAATTTATTTTTGCAATTCTGTTGAGTTACTATATGTATTACGATAATTAAGACAATGGGTCTCTGCAATAGGTAACAGACCCCGAACCCTCAATATAGATATTTGTTTTCTTATATTCTTTAGTTGGCGAAACTTAATATGATATTTTACCCTGTACCTTGGTGTAAGGGAGTGAATTACAGCTATCCTGGCTGGTGAACATATCTATATGGTAAATAGTATAGATATGTTTACACTATCTTCATGCCTCATATATATTGCTTCTATTCCATTCAGCATGCGCGCCAAAGAAAAGGCAAAAAGTACACTTTTACTAGACGTTCTTGCGTCGATGATTACTATAAAGGTAATGTTTTAGTCCGTTCTTGCATATAAATATTATCAGGGGTAGATAATGACAATCTTTTTCATATTATAACCTTAGCTTGTCACGAAAAAACAAATAAAATTCTTCTTTAGTGTGTATCACAGCAGGAACCAAGGTTGATACGGTTCCACATGAACACAGTCAAACGCGTTAGCGGTCACACCTATAGAACGGTCACCTGTCTATAAAGGTCATATGCATTTTCTCTTGTGTGCAGTTATACAGCCAACCCACCTCTGTAAGACGGGAGTGTGTCCCCAAAGCCCACTTCCCCTTTGCTGTTTCATTTGAGTTGGCTTTATATACTAGTTTTACTGTATATAATTGATTTTTGTGAAAATGTAAAAAAATAGTGTATCCACAATATTTAAAGATGAACGAAAATGGATTTATACGCAGTATATAGATATAAAGGATTGCGAATTTAAGAGAGAAGTAATCAATTTGTTCATTATCTGTTTCAACCATAGAAATAGTATAGGTATACTGTACTAGTGTCTGTAGTGTAGGTAGTAGTGTCGCTATATATTTCTATGGTTTCAACAGATTAAAAAAGAAATAAATGAGCTCACTTACTACCAAGATATTGTGCTGGCGCGTTGTTTCGACCTGAAAGTTTTTATCTAAAATCTTTATTTGTGCGATGGTATACTTGATGTGCTGAACAGTCACCCTATATATGTGTATTTCGTACGTTAAAGTAGACTTGCTGGTTCCTGTGTGAAGTTATCAAGTTGAATAAAGTTGAGCTGATTTGTTAAATCACATGTCGAAATTGTAATTTTTTTTTTATCTGGGTGCAGGCCTTCATTTGTTTAGACGTTCACAATTATCTATTCCTTTCCTTTCCTCTGTGCACCTCTCCAGTGTGCGCGTGTTCGGTGTGATTTGTGTTAGGAGGAGGGGTGGAAGAGGCGCACACGTGTGCACAGTCACACCGGCACAGCACACAGAAAGATACAGCGATCCACCTAGGCACCCACACGGTGCGTATTATAAGCACGTATAGACACATGGTTAATGACGCAAAAATTCCCTTTCTACAGGTTTTTCTCTCCCTCTGCCGCCTTCTCTTTTTATTTCCTCTCTTTTCATACAATATCTCACATTCCCTTCCTCCTCCTCCTCTCTCTGTCTCTCGTTCCATCTCCTCACTCTCCCTCACTCTCCTCACTCTCCCATAATACCCCGTCACACCGGGTGGCGTCCTTACTGGGCTGCTACGCGCGCGGAAAATGGGCCCATAGCGAGCCAAGGTCGCCATATAGCGTGGTATAAGCCTGGTGGAAACGCCAGACATCGTGGTGTGGTCGCCATGGTCGGCCAATGATCGCCGAGTCACGGCGTTGTTTTGAGCATGTTCAAAAACGCCAAGGTTCGGCGATCTGACCTGGAACGCGGTGAGAACGCGTGGGGTCGCGAAAGGTCGTGAGACAAGCGTCGTAACATCTCCATAAACGTAGTACACGCGCAGTACACGCGTGGCAAAGACGCTGCGAAATGGTAACATTTTCAACGGCGAATTCATGGATCTGTCTCATCCGATCTGCCGATCTGTTTTCATGCCGATCTGTCTCGGCCACGGCCACGGCTCGGCCTCTGGTAGCTTGTTTCTTCGCATCCGTGTTCTACTCAGCAAACGCCAACTATACAGTTAAAATTTCCGAAAATCTGACCAGCTTATATAGTCGCTGTGAAGAACGTGGTAGAAACGCCGTGAGGTCGCCGTGCAGTCGCGATACCACGTAGAAGAGCGTGGTAAGACCCCATGAGGCGTGGTGAGAGCGCGCGGGAACGCCGGTGATCGCCGTTGCAAGTCCATAGATCTCATAGAAACGCCATAAGCGCGGAGAGGTCGTGGCGGGCGCGCCGTGAGAACGCGGTATGATCGCACAGGTTTTTTTCGTTTGTAATTTGTTGGGAATTTTTCTCGAGCGTTGTGTTCGCGTTTGCCGGCGACCTTGTACAGTTTTCTGGTCGCCGTACGGTCGCGGATGGTCGCCGTCCAGTGTGACGGGGGTATTACTCTCTCGCAATCTCTCACCATCGGGTGTCTTTCCTGCGCTTCTTTCTTTATATCTGTTATCCCTTTCCCTCGCTGCCTTCTCCTCTCGCTCAAGGTTTCGCCCACGACATCATTAGTACGGTGGATATTCTTCATTTTCCTTCTTTTCTCCGTCTCTCTCTCTCTCTCTCTCGCAACACACACGCGGCGCCACGCACGACACACACACACGACAGGTCCGACACACACCACACTACACACAACACCCGCCACACAGCACTACGCACACGACACACACACAAATCTTCTCTTTCTCTTCTCATCTCTTCACTCCTTCTCTTCTGCTCTCTCTGTATCGGCGCACACACACTCACTTTCTCCCTCTCTCTCTCTGGGCATTACGCACAGCACACACGACACACAACTTTCTTCTTCTCTTCTCTCTCTCTCGTCATCGTCTCTCTCTCTCTCTCTCTCTCTCTCTCTCTCTCTCTCGCAATCTTTCTCCTAATTAACTTCCCCCTCTCTTCCTGTCTGTTTTGTCTCTACCTTATTATGCCTTATTTCTCTACGATCTATACCTCTACTTACCCCTCTTTCATTCGCTTTGTCTCTACCCGTTTATGGGCCGTAGCTGCGGGGGGGGGGGGGCAAGGGGGACAGCTGCCCCCTAGATTTTGAAGCAAAATTTAAAAAAAAAAGTTCTGCTAAAAGAGAATTGCCGTAGTCAGAAATGAAGACAATGAGGCTGTCATGTACTTAAAGTCGCCTCAAATACATCCCTGCTATCTACAGTGTGAGAGGACGCCCAGACCCTTTAACTAAACCTCTGAAATCATGGGATCCGCCACGCCCCCCCCAGTGCATTTGCTCAGCCTACTGCCTGACATACAGTGAGCCTGCAAAAGAAAAACATAAGAAGGGTATAAATAGTACGGTAGTATGACACCGGTGGCTAGGCCGTTTTTTCATGGTGCTCAACTTTTTCGCCCTCGAAATGTAAAATGTCATATTAACGTCCTCTAATACTTTTTTTAAGTCAATAAAGGATACGCAACGTGCACACTAACGTGAACACAACACGCTGGTATGGACGGAAGCAGCACATAACGTAATTATTGATATTTCCAACATTTTGTGCATTCTCGGGCGCGAGACTCTTTATCATTAGCCGAAACACAGCTTGCACAATAGTGTGGCAGGTTCATGTGTCGGGGTACGATGACAGAGGGAGGTGAGAGAAGTACGGGCAACAGACGAGAGGGGAGCGAGGCGAGAAGAGATGGCTGGAGAAAGAGAGAGAGAAAGGAGGAGAGAGAGAAAGAGAGAGAAAGAGGAGGAGAGGGGGAGAGAAAGAGAGAGAGAGAGAGGAGCGAGAGGAGAGAGAGAGAGAGGAGAGAGATAGATAGATAGATAGATAAGATAGATGATGGCGATATAACACACGCGGCGCGCGCACAACGGAGACACACTCTCACACACACACACACACAACACACCATCACACACACACACACACACACACACAAACAACACAGCACGAGAGAGAGAGGTAATGCACTCATGCATGAACGCAAGCGAACGATCACGCTGAACGCCGACACATGCAATGAACGCGACGCCACATGCATGGCACGCCGACATGCATGAACCACGCACACATGGCTGAACGCACGCGGTGCACATGCACGTACGCATGCCAATGAACGCACGCCTGCAATCCGCATGAACGCGACGACATTGTGAACGCACGCACACATGCATGATCACCGTACGCATGGCATGATCACACCCGTCGCATGCAACGACGCACGCACGTATTTGGTGGTACACGAACGACGCATGCATGATCCAGACCAGTACGCATGCATGAAACGCACGCACGCACGCGCACAGCGTCGAGACGCATATGCATGGTCACACCCGCATGAACACACGACGGAATGGACGCACGCACGAACGCGTAATGAACGACGCACACGCCGAGTATTATATGCATAATATACCTATAGTATTTCACGGAGGCGAGATACCTCTCCTTAAGATTCCTCACCCCTCTTGCTAATGGTATCGCCCACGACTTCTTCTTCTTCTTTCTTCTTCTTTTCTTTTTTCTTCTCGGTCACTACATCGTACCTCGATCTAGCACTGGCAGCACATAGGACCTGGCAACAGTGGGTTGAAACCTCCAGGTCTACAGGGCTCTGGTAATAGGGGGCATTCCAGGAGATGTCCCATAGTCTAGACATAGATAGTCTCCCATCGATGGTCTCTGCGGTGACACGCTCTACCTAGCAAACTCCTGTCTCTCAGAAGACAACCGCTCCACGTAGCAACACCGTCTCTATACAACACTATATATACTATAATATACTAGTATAGGCAGCACTATAGTGCCACCGTATATGTCTATAGTACGGTCATCTACCATGTATGCCGTGGTCGATACCATTTGTGATAGGAAGAGAACGAGCGATGGGGAATCGTAAATAACGGGTAGAGACAAAGCGAATGAAAGATGGGATAGGTAGAGGTAGAGAGATCTGAAGTATAGGGCACCTATATATGCCACCGTCTCTCCCCAGGACACACGTCGTACCCCTCTCGTATTCTCGCTACGGCGACACACGCTCCACATAGCAGTAACTCCTGCCCCCCCCCCCGCCTACTCACACAGCACACCGCCCGCCACGTAGCAAAAACCGACTGCCCCCGTGTCCTCGAGGGATTCACCTCATGTAATATGTGAGTGTGCGTGCATGTGCGTATGTGTGTATGTGCATGTGTTTGTACGTCCCTTCCACCCCCTCCTTCCCCGTCAGAAAGACGCACACTCATAGACTAGAAGTATTACCATTTACATATATGATATAAATATGAAATGAAAGTCAAATAATTTTCATTTTCTTCTATTTCATATATAATATTATAACGTTTTCATTCAATCACAACATTATATTGGATCAAATTAATTAGCTTATTAAACCAAAAAGAAAATACTATACGTGTGATATATTATATAATTAGATCGAGAGAGTAATCATTAACCACCAGTAATTTATGACCTTAATTTATGAACCAATAACCTAACTACACTATACCCTATTACAGAACATATAAAGATAGTAATACATCAAAACCAAACAAAAAAGAGCCAACCTTACTCTAAGCTGGAAAAAGATTAGGTTCATAGACAATCCTTGAAGATATAAAACCGGTCACGTTTGACTTGCTATGCCATTTTGATTAGTTGTGACTTTTTTTGCTGCTTGTCATACGATAGGTAACCACATAGCAACGTCCCTGTAACAGAACATGAACTATAACCTAATCTTTGTATACACAGCCAGAAACTAAATCTACGCCTGCATGCAGTGGCATAGATAAACTTCGGTCTGATCAGAAGGACGACGTATTTGAACGCGAAGAATAGTCACCAAATTAAACTAATATCTTAAAATTTAGCATAAAGCCTGAATCTAATCAACCAACTCTCTACTCAAAAGAAGTACACACTGACTGATTGAGCTGCAAAAACCAAAACACGAACCATTGATAGTCAGAATGTTTCCTGGAGTTAACCAAGCGTCCATAATATAACATTATATAATTCATCCACATGCTCTCCCCACGAACGCATCAATCCTATATATATATACCATAGCATGTATGTTCATGATCCGACCAACATCACAGATATAAACGATCAAGGGCCCCCTCGGGAGACACATATAGTCTCATGTGCTTCTTGTTTATTGTCATTTACCCCTTGACGAGTCGGCCTGATCAACAGGGCACGCAAGTTTGCTCAAAATAAATACATACACAGATATAAGAGGACCTCACCGTACTGTCAACACGCGGGGCTATTTGCATGTAAAAACATAGTGCAACTATCGGGAGAAACAGAATAGACGGGCACTCTGTCTATGACGTTACTCCTGCTATGATGCGAGCACGCGTGCGTAATTCTGTGCAATATGTACCTTTAATATTAAACTTCAAAGGGATTAATCACGTAACATATTCATTAATAGTCTTACATATATTTTACACGCGGTTGTATCCCACCCCATTTTCTCATTTTGAAGTGTCGAGCAAAAGATTGTCATCAAGATATACTACGTATTGCACTACTAAATATGAATACTAGTTGAAATACCAATTTAAAATACTAATATTAAAGGAATAAGAAATGCAACATTACTATTACACATTGTCTGCAATTTCATATCCTGATAATAAAGATAATGAATTTTTCAGATCCAAATTTTTAGCAAGGTGGTTCCTATTGCTAAATATCTACCAGTGAAATAAGTTCTTACGCTTATAGAATGAGACAGCTGCGTTCTAGCACGTTCACAATAACTGAACATGCTTTTCTAAGCAACATCCTGGGCAACGCAAGCCACAGAGAGATCATCATGATAGACAACTTTGATTGAACACTTGTCACGCATGGACAGCATGGACAGTATATAGCTGGAATGCAAGCACCTAGGTAATGACACCCAGAAGCACTACCCGCAGTGAACTCATGCACCCTGTGCATAACCAAACACTAATGCGCGATAGACATGAAACCAAGCCGCGATTCCACGCTCTCTACACACTAGTTGCATCGACTGTGTACGTCTACTGACGCCTATAAAAAATACGGACGTGGTAAACGTGTTCAGCCTTTTAGCTAAAAAGTGGCGACTACGGGCATCGTCTAATTAGAGCTCGTTAGGAGCAAATTGGTGAGCGGACGCCGCATAAATTACTGACCGCATCTCATCAGGGGGCGAATAACGACAAATCATTAGTACGACAAATGTTATAACGACAAATTATTACAAATTTGTCATTATTAACCCCCCTGATATCTTATACATACACCGACGTCGACGACGTTGACGATTTATGTGATTCGAGGCTACATAGAGGTAGCAGAGAGTACCTACATAGCTAGAGGTGAGTGTAAATATGGCCCCAGCACATATCGCACAAAGCAGCGCTCGCGGCGTAAACTCGAGGTGCTAGTAGAGTTCTTGCGGCGCGAGGCAGTCGCCTATGGTGAGTCGGTAGGTGGCTAGCTTCGAGACGCCGTGGTAGTGAACGAACGCGGCCGCAACGACAAAGATATGGAATATCTGATGGCTCTGGCCCTGCGGAGAAAAACACACGAGGATAGGTGAGAACAATCGCTAGCTCGCACCGATGGAAAAGGTACCGCCGCGAATACATGTAAGCATCAGTGAGAACAATCGTTAGCTCACACCAACGGAAAAAGGTACCGCCGCGAATACATGTAAGCATCAGTGAGAACAATCGTTAGCTCACACCAACGGAAAAAGGTACCGCCGCGAATACATGTAAGCATCAGTGAGAACAATTCGTTAGCCGTCACACACACCCGACGTAAAAAGATACCGGCCGCCGAAATAACATTGGTACAGTGTCGCGAAACGTTGCCACCAGCTAGTTCTAGTTGTCATGGTGTCACGTCAGTCACGAGGTCAATGAAAATTTTTATTTCTGCTGTGAAGACAGATGCGTTTGAATATCAGTTGAATGTACTGACGTATTCAAGAAGGCTGCCAATGCAGGATATCTATAGCCCAGAATATTGCAAGCTACAGCTGGGGTACGAGAGCTGGATATTTGAGCAGGTGTTATAGACTCAAAATGGTTGAGGGAAAAAAGCTCACCACAGCTAGCACCAGCTCGGGTTATGAACTGATGCCAAGTTCTTTACATGTTTGTCTAACCTAGAATTAACGTGTAGGAATATCGCCTTTTCCATCCTTATTGTTGACACGCACCTGGAGATAATTCGTGACTGTGGTCACATTAAGCCATATATTCGTGATGTGATGACGACCAGAATCAACAAAACAGCTCAAAAACCACATAGGTACATAAATCATCATCATCATCACCCTATCCATTAACCTATTCCTGCACCCTAACCTTATCCTTAATCATATCCCCTAACCCATACCCTAAACTACCCTTAATCATATCCTCTAACCTTATCCTTAATCATATCCCCTAACCCATACCCTAAACTACCCTTAATCATATCCTCTAACCTTATCCTAATCATATCCCCTAACCCTTACCCTAACCTTATCCTTAATCATATCCACTAACCCTTACCCTAAATCATATCCCCTAACCCTTACCCTAACCTTATCCTTTTCATATTCCATAACCCTTACCCTACGTGAACCTAATCCCCAGCCCGTCATAAACACCCAGACACCCGTTGTCAATGCCATCGTAAATAGCTGCGATCATCTTAAGTCTGAAATTTACCCAAGCTTCTGCACCACACCTCACTTTACCTCAAAAGATACAACTTGTTAGCCTTGTGATGTCCTTACTATTCATTACTACTAACGAGCCCCTCGGATTTTAACGACGCACTGAGGATTAGGCTAGGGTCAAGGTTAGCGAACATAATTAGGGTTAATTATGACATCCAAAAGTACAGCTGGGTTTACACTAACGACTTTATGTTGGCGAATTGGGCCAACTTCCAAACTATACAACTGACAATCGGCAGTGTAAACACGAAAGTCGCGCGAGCAACTGGTCGATAGCAACTACTAAGCTGGGAGATTAGAACGTTCCATTTTCGTCAGCTAGCAGTTGCCGAATTGTGAAATTGGTCCAACTCGCCAATTCGCCAACATAAAGTCGGTAGTGTAAACCCAGCTTAAAATGACTATTGCGAGATTTTCAGAAAAACTAAATATAGCTGAATATAGTCTCACCTGACAGCGAAAATATCACTGATTACACCAACATTCAAAATACTAAGATTTTATGCAGTTATAGCATAGAAAATTGGATATGAACACATCGTAACAGCAATGCATTTTATCGTGTCGCGACAATGCCTAATGGCAGAATTGGTAAACTTGTATTTGTGTCGGTGATGAATTGAAAAGAAGTGCGTGCCTGCGCTGTGGGTATGGCAAATAAGCGGTGGCGCCACAAGCTAATTCATACTTCCTGTTAGTTCAAGATGACAGAAAACGAATGTTTACAAAAACGATTAGTTCGAAACTGGCAGTTTTCGGTGAATACGAAGGTTCTAAGACATTTTACTGTTACTCTAGACAATTGCTGTTACTCAAGCAATAACGGTAGGTATCATGAAAGTGGGGAAAACACTGGAAAATTCTCGCAATAATCGCTTTAAGACCAACAGAACGCGCTCACCCATATGTCGCACTTTCCGGGGAAAAGGCAGTGCCTAGGTCGAGTGTAGTGTAGTGACGCGAGAAGAAGAATAAGACTACTCATGACTACTAACGAGCCCCTGGGATTTTTATGACGCATTGAGGATTAGGCTAGGATCAGAGTTAGCGAATATAATTAGGGTTAATTACGACATGCAAAAGCAAAACCGACAAAACGCGCTCACCCATATGTCGCACTTTCCGGGGAAAAATCGCTCCGGTATTCGCATCGCGTACAGTAGCGCGCCGACAATGTAGAGCAGAGCCATGAGCACGAGCCAGCCGAACGCTCCCAGCGTCACCGCCATGTAGAACCCGTCCGAGATGCAGAAGTGGATCGCGGGTACAACGCCGCTCAGACCCAGCGCGAGGAACAGGCCTGCGGGAGAAACGACGGTCACACGCGGTTAGCAGCAGATTAATTAGTTTACAGTAATTATTATTATTACTTTTATTGTTATTATTATTACTTTATTATTATTATTATTATTATTAGTCACGTTATGCTCGGCACCGTTTTGGGACAATCGTTTCGGGACCCCAGTACATAAATCGTCGGCGCCATCGTGATCATCATTATCATCATCATTCATCATCATCATTATTCATCATTATCATCATCATCAGCATCATTATTATCATCATCATCACCATCTTAATAATCATCATTCAACTTTTAACCTCTAAATAAACGAATACTATTACTAATCCTAAACTAATCCTAAGAACAATATTTAATCTGGGTTCTAAAGCAGAACTGAATTTTACAGCCTTCATACGTCAAGTAACCGCAAAATTGGAATCTCTATTTACGCGGGAGATTTCTTTGGGAGATGAATCTCATTTCATTTGCGATTATATTTCACCGATTCTATGGCTGCGCGATCCTAACCAGTTTGTACAATGGCATGAGCTGTACTGCCCTGTATAATTATCACAGCAATCAGAGAAAACAGTGAATGGCCATGATGGGTGCATCGATAGATATCTATTCAGGGATAACCGCATTCCTGTAAGACATGGCCACTTCGAAAGCTCTCCCAAAATCTATTCGCCCCGTACAATGTTCGCTGACGTTTGCACAGCTCTGTACCACGGTTCCCAAAAACTCTGCCAGCAGTGACACCAGTGCAGTAGTATACCACTTACTTCAACACCACCGCAATTGTATTTCTACCGTACCAAATTGCGATTATAAAAACGCCCACTAACGTTCACCGATGTTGGTAGTACATACCCGCCCTCAGAGGTCTGTACTCAGGTTCCCCAAACTTTGGAAGCAGTGACACTATTATGCTGGCCAGCCCAAGAACGCTGATGGAAATCATGTACACCATCTTGGGCGTGGTGCGGCAGTAGAAACTGTAGTAGAGCCATGGTACGAAACTACCGAGTATCATCACCGCTATGCCACAGTAGTCCAACCTGCCGAGACATCAAACAATTATCAATAACAGAATTTACACGACGTGGATCAAGTTTAATTAACAAAAAAGTGCGATAAAATCAGACAGAAATCGTTGGTACACCTACCAGTTCTTACATAATCGACTCATACAAAAACTACAAAGAACACGGAACTTTTTCGCACAATCACGTCCCTAATCATCGCTCCTATAATAAATCCTAGCAACTACCATACTAAATAACTATAGCATTTTTATCACTAATCATATACAACGACTCACTTGCTAAAGAATTTCCCAACGCGTTCGGAATGGCAGTACACAGTGTGGAACAGCCAGGAGAAGCCAAGACAGACGATGGCAGCGATGAAGAACACAGAGAAGACGACCTTCTCCTGCCACTGAACCTCCAACGATGGCCGCGTCACAAAATAGATCGCCCCGACGATGAACGTTAGGAAGCCTGATTCAGCGAAAAGAACAACGTCATCATCACTTCGAACGCATTAGGTTTCAAATGTTACGACAGAATTGGGATGAAGTTTTCATCACGGAATGAAGGATCACACTTATAATCAGGGATGGGAATGACAATTTGTGTTTTCAGCTGAAAATAGCCGGGGTCCAG